GCTGGGGACTGGTGGTGTGGGTGTCAGGGTGCTGAAGTGCTGGTGACCTGGAGTATTGGGGTACCCAGAGTGCTGGAGACCTGGACTTGGAGGTATTGGGGTGTCCAGGGTGCTGAGGATTCGAGGTGAGGGTATTGAGGTGCCCAGGGTGATGGAAACCTGGACTTGGGGGTATTGGGGTGCCCAGGGTGATGATGACCTAGACCTGGAGGTACTGAGGGGCCCAGGGTGATGGTGACCTGGACCTGGGGGTGTTGGGGTGCCCTAGGGTGCTGAGGAGCAGAGGTGGGAGTATTGGGATGTCCAGGGTACTGGGAACCTGGAAGTGGGGGTTCAGATGGGTTCCCAGGTCCTGGGACACTGAGGACTGGGAGGTGGATATTGGGGGTGCCCAGGGTGCTGGGTGACCTGATGTCTGTGGGTGCTCCATCCCCTGCCACCCAACACTCATCATCTCCTCTGCCCCGCAGCGCCTGATGCCCGTCCCTGCCTGACAGCGCCACCATGGCCGGGGCGCAGGGCTGCGGCGAGGGGAAGATCGCGGGGCTGTACGACCTGGAGCGCACCCTGGGCAAGGGCCACTTCGCGGTGGTGAAGCTGGCGCGACACGTCTTCACGGGGCAGCGCGTGGCCGTCAAGGTGATCGACAAGAGCAAACTGGCGGGACGCGGCTGGGCAGCTCGTGCAGGAGGTGCGCTGCATGAAGCTGGTCCAGCACCCCAACGTGGTGCGCCTCTACGAGGTGATCGACACCCACGCCAAGCTCTACCTCATCCTGGAGCTGGGCGACGGCGGGGACATGTTCGACCACATCATGCGGCACGAGGGCGGGCTGGCCGAGGCGCGGGCCAAGCACTACTTCGCCCAGATTGTCCACGCCATCTCCTACTGCCACAAGCTCCACGTGGTGCACCGCGACCTCAAGCCCGAGAACGTGGTCTTCTTCCAGGAGCAAGGGGTGGTCAAGCTCACCGACTTCGGCTTCAGCAACCGCTTCCAACCCGGCAAGATGCTCACCACCAGCTGCGGCTCACTGGCCTACTCTGCACCCGAAATCCTGCTGGGGGATGAGTACGACGCCCCGGCTGTCGGTAAGGGCGGGGGGACGCAGCCGGGCCGGGTACCGCCTTGCTTTTGTCCCCTTGTGCTAGGAGCACCCACGCCGCGGTGGCGCTGCTGTCCCCGCAGGGAGCAGTCCCATTCCGTGGGTGCTTGGCTGCTCAGCCCTGCCCTGGCACAGGGTGGTTCTCCCTGCGGAGGCTGTCCCCGCGCTGGCG